GCCCTCAAACCCGTCTTCACATCCCATCAGCTCCATCCTCTCCCCTCCCTGAGTGGTGACAAGCAGAAGGCAGCACCCGCTGTGACTGGGTTGAAGCTGGGTGCACCCCAGCTGGCCAGCTGGAGATCCCTCTGCACCTCTAGGAGTGCACCAAATGCCATGACCTCCTCATCTTCATGGTTTTTTGAGAAGAGGGTTCTCGGATGACAACTTCCACAGAGCAGGAGAAGGTAGCCTTTCTCAAACCTCTCCCTGTTCTTGAAGTGGTTGAAGTTGACTGGGGGAGGGGCTTCACGCTTATTAAGAAAAGATACAAAGCCACTGTAAATTATACTTCCTTCCAAAGCCAGGATTAAAAGGTAACTCAGTTCCAGCCAGCTGCAAATCACATTGAAAATGCTGCCTGCTGCCCTCCTCCTGTGCTGTGGTTCAGGGCAGCTCCTGTATTTCTCCACCATCCATCCCATTCAGGGGGAGCAGGAAGACACAAAATTGACAAAAAGTCAATTCCAACATTTTTATGCTGCACCCCGTGGGCAGCAATGAAACTGTCAGCAGGAATTACCGTTCCACTCCAGTGATGGGGAGCAGAAGGGTCTGGAGCTATTCACAGGGATGGCCACCTCAAAACAAAAGCCATGAGAGGATAAGAGCAGCACTCGCTCCAGCTAGGACAGCACACGTGGAACAGGACTACCAGAAAAGAGTCCTTGTGCTTTGCTGCGGGCAGGGGAGAGGATACTCATTGTAGCAAATATCAACTAGCAAGAAGATAATTACAAATGCACAATGAGAGACTAACCCACAGAAACTACCTGTTGCTAAAAGAAACCTTATCATTTTTGACTCTACCCACTCCCTTTGTGATTTATACTGGTTTGTGCCTTGGGGACAAAGAACAGGTGACATGAAACCCAAATACTCCACCTTAAAGGGGGCAATGACGCTCCAGTAGTTAAATACTAGTCTGAGACTCGTTAGACCTAGATAGTATTTCCAAACCTTCCCAGGCTTTCAGCACTCCTAAGAGTACATCTCCATAGCATAATGCAGCACTGTGTAGCCAGCCTGAATACCAGCAGGAGCATGGCCATGGTAGCACGGCATGCACCCACGCTGGAGTGCAGCTGGAGCATCCATCCTGCTTCCCAGGTAGTTTGGATCTATCCAAATGGCGCTCCACCACAACACCTAAGCACACCCTTAGTCATCCTGCCTCAGAAACCAGCTGTGACATGACAGTTCTTCCTTAAATTACCAAAAATTGTAAAGAAAGAGCATCTGAAGAGATAAACACTCAGATACCAAAGTTAGGAAGAACAGCAAGTTCCATATACCACCCATTTAACATACCAGATACAGCCCCTAAATGCCTCCGTTTAGCACCCTCTCTCTTTATGTCAGCTCTGCCCTTAGAGTTTACAAATTATGGCTCTGGCTTGTAAGTGTTAGTAAATACCTCCTTAGACCTTACTCAGTGTTTCCATAATTGTATACAGATTCTAGAGAATACTACCCTGCAAGAATAACATCCAAAATACGTTCTAAAAATAAAACATTCTAGACGATTCTCACATATAGCCAAAGGTTGGAAACATAAACCATGCCATAAAGAAGGGCATGAACAGAATGCTACTTGAATTATAGCTCGAGAACGGGGAGGAAAAAAAAACAAAAACAACATACAAAAACCCCCCACCAAAACCCTAACCCTCGATATAGTAAAAAAGTAGCATCTTAAGTGCCACATTCTGTTTCTAAAACAAAGCTTAAAGCCCGAGACGAATAAAACCAGGAATTCTTAATTTTGTGATTCATACTTCTCGAACTAAGTAATCGATAATCTCCACAACCAGGCAATTGTTTGCTTGATGAGTTTGTAAAAAAAGGCAACATTCCACCCCGATCCTTGCCGGGCTGTGAACGCCGCCCCCTTGCCAGCAGCAATATGGATTGCCCAGCGCAGTCCGGTGATTCCTTTTTTCAGCCTACGTAATGCCCATTTACATAGTCACGGTATTTTTAAATGTGCTTTCAGAAGCACTAAATAACACAAAAACATGGAAGGAGACAAGCACAGCAGCAATACGGCACTCCTGTGACTGCGGAATTCACGAACAAAATACCGACCAACTCCGGGGAGCACAATAAAACTCCATTTTCCAGATTATGCATTCAGAACGCCAACCCAAGGAAATCCTGGCCGTGTTTCCCTCCTACAGCGAGAGTGTGTCTGAGCACAACAGAGCATATCCTGGCTCCTTCGCTAACCTCCACGCACATTCCTACACCCCTTAGGAAAACAGTGACAGCGGACATGAAAGCGAGGGAAACAATGACATTCTTTTAATAACAACGTTCACCAGCGCGCCGGACCCGCTCGGTCCGCGCTACGCAGCGGCAGCTCCCGCATTCCCCCGGACCAGCCGTATTCCCCCCGCCGCCCCGGGGGCTGCCCCACCGTCCCCCCGTGGCCAGACCGGCCCCGGCCCCGGCCCCCCGCGGCTGCCCGGCCGGGGCTCGGGGGCGGCGGGGCCGCAATCCCGGGGGGAGCCCGCCTGGCACCGCCGCCGCGATCCCCGGCCCCGCAGCGCGCCCGAGGCTGTGCCACGCCGGGCCCGTGCCACGGAGGGCCCGCCGCCCCCCCGGCCCGGCTCTTACCGCCAGCTCGGGGTTGTGCGAGTCCCGCTGGGACACGGCGCGGATGACCCCGGCCCGCCAGCGCCCGCTCTCCGGCGGCTCCTCGCCGCCCAGGCACAGGAACCGCTTCCCCACCAGCTCCGGCCGCGTCTCCACCGCCATGGCCGCCGCCGCGCAGGCACCGCACCAGCCGCCGAGCCCGCCACTCTAGGGGCCGCGCATGGCGGGCACGGGGCGGGGACGGGCGTGGGTCTGCGGGGCTCGGCAGGGTCGGGGCCCCTCGGCCACCGCCACAGCCCGACACAAACAGGAGCGAGGGGCGGGGGCGGCCGGGGGCGCGCGCTCCCTCCTCTCTGCCCGCCCGCCTCCTCCCTCCCGCGCGCGCCCGCCGCGCTGCGGCCCCGACCACTCCGCCCACGCAGCCCCACTGCCATGGAGACCGGCGCCGCGCGCCGTCTTCCTCCGCGGGGAGCGCGGGGCGAGCGGCCACCACCGCAAAGAGTCCCCGGCCGCCGCGGGGGCACCGGGGACACCACCTCCCCCGGGGACTCGTCCCGCCGCCCCCCTGCCCGGCCCTGGCCGGGCGAGCGTGGCCCTCACCTGCCGCCCGCGCGCCCCTGGGAAGCAGCCCCGCGGTGACGTGACACTGGCGGGGTACCCCCTCCGTGCCTCCGGTGCCTCTGCGGGAATTCGGACACAGCCCCTCCGGGGTGTCTCCCCTGGGTGGGAGAAGCGGCTGAACACCCACGTCAGGCTCGCCCACACCCTGCTTAAGGCACCGCTCCGGGAGCGCATTAATGTGTGTGAGTGTCTGAAAGGAGGTGCCAAGAGCGTGGACCAGGCTCGGCTCGGTGGTGCCCAGAGACAGGACAGGAAGCAACAAGCAGAAACTGCCGCACAGCGAAGTACCACCTGAACATGAGGAAGAAGTTCTTTACTATGCAGTGACCGAGCACTGGAACAGTGCTGGAACAACCGGAGAGGCTGTGGAGTCTCCCTCAGTGGAGATATCCCAGAACTGGCTGGACACAATCCTGTGCCATGTACTTTGGAATGACCCTGCTGGAGCAGGGAGGTGGGACCAGATGACCTGCTGTGGTCCTTTCCATCTTGAGCCATTCTATGATTCGGTGAGAGTTGAGGCTGGCAAGGGTATCCCAGGAGCCAGGCACCAGGATATTGAAGTCTCAGCCCTCCAGGGTATTGGAGAGCCAGGACCAGGTCTGCCATCTGCAGCACCTTCTTCCCCCAGGTCAGCATATTGGGAGTTCAGCAAAGATATCCATCCATCCATCCATTTTTCCCTACTGCAAACAAGGCCATGGAACTCTGTGGGAATGTGATGTCACTTTAGTCCTTCAGAAGCTTTTACAGACAGAACACTTCAGACCTAGAAGATTTTATTGGATACTGCTGAATGCCAGCAAACAGGATACCCGAGCAGTGAGCTCAGAGACTCACACAGGCTTCAGCTGAGAGCATGGGCTGTATCTCCCAAGGAGGCCATGCAGCCCTGTGCTATCAGTCTGTTGTTCTTTCCATGGAGCCCGTGGTCAGACTGTAGTAATGCCATGTTTGCATTTCAAGAGTTTTTCTTTCATGTTATCTGGAGGTGTAGCTTTCCTGAACTGCTGCCTGCCTTTACTGGGACGCCTGCCCTCAAGAGAGCAGGTTAATGATCTCTAATCTAGCACTAAAAGCAAATTTGAACAGTGCATTTTTTGCAAAATAGATTATGAGGCAAAAGTAATAAATCAAGAGTGCCAACTTCGCACATTCCTGTGTATTTCAGTGGAACAAATAACTTCTGGTACAAGAGAAGGTAATTATAACAGAAAACAAACAAACAAACAAACAAATCAATTCATCATGCACCACGACAAGTTTGTTCACAGTATTAGAATAAGTTCCAAGATGTAACATTTATACCTGAACCTAGAGGTGCCTGGGATCCCATGGCAGCAGGCCAAGGATACATGGAGGCGTGTTCCCGAGAAGCTGCAGGAGCAGCCACAGTGCATTTGAGCTAAATGAGATCTTCATCCACATTCCAGGGTAATGCTACAACCAACAGATGAGTACTGCAATCGTGCAGAAGGAGCAAAAGTTTAAGAACAGGGCAGTTATTCATAAAGGGCATACAAAGAAGTTACAAGAATTACTAAATAAGTATTAATCATATCAAAATTCTTGTATCGGATTCCCTCTTGTTTAACCAAGTAGTAATTCGAGATATTACTGAATTCTACAATTAAGTAGATTACATTAGTGTGCAACAAAATGTAAAATATGCCAAAAGAAGCCAATTTATATGATTCTGATAGACTGAACCTGTGAATTCATCGCAGAATAACAAAATATTAAGAGTCAAGTATTTTTAATTTGTTCCAGAAATTCATATCAAAGCGCTGACACCAGAATCACATTTTAGTACAGATTAGAATTCACTAAAGGCTATTGTTCAATGCTGAACCATTTTACAGTTGTTATTACCTGAAAATATCAGTAAGATCTAGTAATATTGACATGTAGGTGTAAATTCCCATGGTCAGCTGTCAGTTCCCAGATGCCAAGTGAGAAGGGCAGGACCTTTGCTCTGCTCCTCACAACACCCCTGAGCTAGACCAGGAGAACACAGCTCAAGGGAAAGTGTTGGCGAATTGTCAGGGCAGCATCACTCCCCAGTAACTCCACATCTCAGCTCTTCTCTCTTTCACTTATTCAGCTTGGAGCAGCTTCTGTTACCACAGAGGTGCTTTGGGAAGGTCAAAATATTCAGGTGGGTCAGCATACATGAGACCCACAAGTTGCTGAACGTGTTTTCCACCTTCGACCTCCATTCATTGATCCATTTCTTCTTTGCTGCTTCCTTCTCTCCTGGTTTCTCTGCAAAGTGCTGTAAACTGGAAGAGCACTAAATGCTCTGGTTGTGGATAAGTCATCTTGGAGCCTCTGTCTGCAACAGAACACAAAGTCATGATGCTGTGGAGCAGGGCCTGAAAATAGCTTAGATGTTAACTTTTAAACAGTCTGTGCTCTATCACACTTCAGCAGGACTTCTTCCTTTCTCAGAAGCCTTTGCAGGCGTCAAACCAATACATTAATTCCTTTTTCAAAGCAACACCTTCCCTATTTCCTTGATAAATATATGGAATACTTGAACGGAAAATTCAAAGCACCAAAATTCACAGGATCAGAAGAATTAGGGATAGTATGAACTGATGCATCTTCCAAAGAAAGTGTCATAAGGAAGCCTTTAAAAAGACCAGAGGAATCATCCTTTTGGAGCTCAGGAGCAACACTCAGAGCCACATGCCCATGGGCAACAACAAAACAGAGCTGACACCTTCAGGCTGGAGAAGTCCACAGAAAAATAAAGAAAAACAGCTCTAGACTGAGCCCCAGGGAAGGAGAACTCCCCTTGGGAAATGGACTGCAGACAAACTCCCCCCTTGCACTCCTACATGGCCCCAGTGCAGCTCTGACAGTAAACACAGTGACTGATAATTCAGCCACCAAGATTTCCTGGCCAAGTAAAAAAGTCCAGCCATCCCACCAAAGGAAAGCCGACCTTGATGCTGGGAATGACCTGCTGGGATCATCCTCTCGCCTGAGCTGCACATCAAACACACGTTAACCACCTGAGCACACCTGAAAGAGGAACCTTGGCACAAAGGCGCGAGAATGGGAAGCTGGGGGAAATAAGTCTCAGTCCTCTATCCCTCCAAGCATCAAGAAAAGCTATTTCCATGATTTCAAAAATCTCTACATCTTCCATCTTTTGCTATAATTGAAAAAAACATTGATGGTGCTGTTTATGCCTCCAACAAATGGCTTCTGTGGCTATAGACCCTGCTTCAGTGGATATGAAATCACCTGAAAAGGCTGTATTAACAGTATCCTTTAAATCCTACAGCTTGCTAAATAAAGGGGGAGGGTTTTTTCCCCCCAAATATTTTCAGTCCCACTTCCCCAAAAGTATACACATTGGGCAGCTGCAAAATCAAGATCTTTACTGAGAGCTTTTTCTAACTTCCAGGTTGAAATGCAGCACAGCCTGTATTGGCAGTGATTGCACCTTCTCCATACAGATAAATGCCACATTTTGAAATGGTTATTTCCACTTTGCAGGAAGGAAAATTGAGAAAGGCAAAATGACTTGTCACAACTCTTAAGCAGAATTGATATTGAGCTAGTTCTTCCTAAAATATGTCCTGTATACTTCTAGATCTATTTTACCTTTCCTTGGGAGATAGCAAGCATAATTTTCCTCTGAATTCATAATTCCTCAGAAATTTGGAAAGTCACATTTAATGTTTTCTAAGGTTCAGCATCAGAAAGTTAATAATCTCTATTTAACAGTTTGGTTTAAAGGTTTCCTAACTTGAAAAATTGCAGCCAAGAAAAAAACCCATTTTTTCCCCTTGAGCATCAGTTCCTTCTGTAACAAAGCCAACTTTTGATTTCAAATTGTCTTATCTTCTTCAGAGAATCCAAGGGCTTTTCTTAATGCATCCTACCAAAACCATCTTCCTTGAAAACATAATTATTTGAGTGGTGAGGCAGTCCTTGAGCACTGAATGGGACACAGGATCAGTGGGAAAGTATGATTATTTGAAGACAGCTATTTACTGCATATGCAAAGGCTGCACTAAACACCTGGGGGTGCAAAGGTGCATGACAGCAAGAGTTGTGGTTTGTGGCATTACCTCCCCAGCTCTCCCACTAACATCCCCTGTGGTGATTTATTGCATCTCTGACTGTCTACAGTCACAACTCCATCTAGGGCTGTCCACTGACCACTCCTAATCTCTTCTTGTGTCTTGGCTTTCTCACTTGTAAAAAGCCTGCAAATTTACCACTGTATTTACACTGCAGGTGAATACAGCACTCCTCTGTGCCCAGGTATCACCCTCAGGACTTCTTTGATACCCTACTGGCTCTTGCTGTAGCACGCAGGGGATTTAAGTTCACTGCCTTTGTGGATCACTCCAGCCATATCTGCACAAGAAAACATTGCAGTTCACAGGGTGCCACTCTATCCACGCTGACAACAGCAAGGAGCACTACTGAGCCTCCATGTGATGCTTCACAGTGAATTTGTAGCCTAGAGCACATGAATAAAGCACATTTGGACTTCACCATTTCTTTCTGTTCCAGCTAACGAGATATCACCAAAAGATGGCTGAACAAATTAAATATCTACGGCCTTCAGTACATCCTCTTCCTCAGAAGTTCGTTGACATCTTAAAATATTAACCCAAACCTAATCCCCTGCCCCTCACCACCCTCAAACACTGCCTTACACTTGAGCCAGCAAACAGAGCTCCTGACTACCTCACACCTGTTTTAAATAAATACACAGTCATCCAGCTCAGCCTAGTGAAGCTTCAGGGCTGGGTTCTGCTGAGCTCGGGAGCTGCTGAGCTGGGCTCATCCCTGACCCTGCCCTGGGGCTGGACACCTCCCTCCACCTGGGGATGGCACCGCCTTTAAGAGCTGCCACTGTTTTCTGCAGGGAGTGTTTAAGTGCAGCCTGAGGGGAAAGCATCATTAGACCAGAACTACACTTTGGTACCAAACAGCCCCTCCCAGTCCTGATGAGTTTACACCCTGTACAGGTAAAATGCAGAGGGTGAGGGAGTAGAGATAACAAGGCTGTGAGTCTCCACCTTTCCCTGAATACCCATGGCCTTAATTCCTCAGGTGGAACTGCAGGACCCTGCCTTCGCCTTATCACACGATGTCTCCACCTAAAACAACCTCTTTGAATTTGCTTGAAGGAAAATGCTTTCAGTTTCTTCAGGCCACAGATGGAAGATGCCATTTCTACTGGTCCCTCAGCCCAGCTACAAGCATTAAGAGCAAGGATCATAGAATCATAGAATAGATTGGGTTGGAAAAGACCTCCAAGATCATCAAGTCCAACCGCTGATCCAACTCCAATTACTATATCATGGCACTAAGGGCCAATCTCTTCTTAAAAACCTCCAGGGATGGTGAATCCACCACCTCTCTGGGTAGGCCGTTCCAATGCCTGATAACCCTCTCTGTAAAGAATTTCTTCCTAACATCTAACCTAAACCTCCCCTGGCAGAGCTTGAGCCCATGTCCCCCTGTCCTATTGTTGGTTGCCTGGGAGAAGAGACCAACCCCCACCTGGCTATAACCTCCCTTCAGGTAGTTGAAGAGAGTGATGAGGTCACCTCTAAGCCTTCTCTTCTCCAGACTAAACAACCCCAGCTCCCTCAGCCTCTCCTCATAGGACTTGTGCTCAAGTCCCTTCACCAGCCTCGTTGCTCTTCTCTGGACCCACTCCAGCACCTCAATATCCTTCCTGAACTGAGGGGCCCAGAGCTGAACACAATACTCAAGGTGTGGCCTCACCAGTGCAGAGTACAGGGGAAGGATCACTTCCCAGCTCCTGCTGGCCACACTGTTCTTGATGCAGGCCAGGATGCCATTGGCCTTCTTGGCCACCTGAGCACACTGCTGGCTCATGTTCAGCCTCCTGTCGATCAGCACCCCCAGGTCCCTTTCCGCCTGGCTGCTCTCCAGCCACTCTGTCCCCAGCCTGTAGCGCTGCAGGGGGTTGTTGTGGCCAAAGTGCAGGACCTGGCACTTGGCCTTGTTGAACCTCATCCCGTTGGAACCAGCCCATCTCTCCAGTCTATCCAGATCCCTCTGCAGAGCCCTCCTGCCTTCCGGCAGGTCGACACTCCCTCCCAACTTGATGTCATCTGCAAATTTGCTGATGATGGACTCAATCCCCTCATCTAAATCATTGATAAAGATGTTAAAAAGGACTGGGCCCAGCACTGACCCCTGGGGAACACCACTGGTGACCGGCTGCCAACTGGATGCAGCTCCATTCACCAGGACTCTCTGGGCCCGGACCTCGAGCCAGTTCCTGACCCAGCACAGAGTGCCCCTGTCCAAGCCGTGGGCTGCCAGCTTTTCCAGGAGTATGCTATGGGAGACAGTGTCAAAGGCTTTGCTGAAGTCCAGATAGACCACATCCACAGCCTTTCCCTCATCCACCAGGTGGGTCACCTGATCGTAAAAGGAGATCAGGTTGGTCAAACAGGATCTGCCCTTCCTAAACCCATGTTGGCTGGGTCTGATCCCTTGTCCATCCTGTAGCTGCTGTGTGATGATGCACAGCAGCAGCGGTGGAACCCTTCTGTGGCCATCCTAGTAATGTTACATCTCCATTCAAGTTTCTTCCCCACCTTTCATGGAGTTGCTGATGCCAGCTTAAGGCTTAGAACTTCTCAAGAATCAGTCTGAGCTCTAGGCATATCTGTCAGCCCCTAACAGACCCCTCCCACGACAGCATACGCTGTACTGCCCAGAAAGCAGCACCAGAACTGAGGACAAATTCTTATTGAGCTGAGGGAATCTGCCCAGAGAACAAAACTCCAGAAGAGATGGAGCATACTCAGAGCCTGAGCAGCCTCAGCAGTGCTGGTGGTCCTTCTGACAGGGCCTGGCTTTTACTGGGCAGCTCCTTTCTCCTGTCAATCACTCACACATAAAACCTGAAACCAATTACCCTTAAAAATTAATTAATCACCTTCCCAGGAACCTTTGCTTCCAGTAGTGCTTCCTCCCACTTGCACCAAAGCTATATAAAGGCCAGTAAGTGGTTTTTTTTGTTTTTTTTTTTTTTTATTATTTTTTTTTCTATTGCTGGGAGGGCACTAGCTAGAAAGCTAGCTGGATTTATAGATAGGCATGTGTCATGGTTTGAGACATGTGGGCTCATGTGGGCTTCTAGAGCACAAGCTTTGTGGGTTATCCAGTGTGTATTTCTATTTATTTTTAATTAGCATTAAATGCTTGGCTATTGCTATCTCTGTGTTTTCACAATTAGTAGCTTTTGAAGGTTAGCAGATGGGTAACAGTAAAAAGAAAATCCCTAAGAACACGAACAATCCTGTGAAGACAGTTATT